TTATATAGTGCCAAATCACAAAAACAGTTATCTCACAGCGCTTTTCATAAAAGAGCAGGTCTAGACCGTACTCTGTGATGCTATTTACAGAAGCCCAACAGTTCCCACCAAGAGCAAGCACTAGGCGACAGAGGCAAGGAAAAACTTCCTTTTAAGAGGCAGAAACCTCGAGCAGAACCATGGCTCAGGGTGGGCGGCCATCTGCCTCAACCGGTTGGGGTGAAGGAGAGAGAGGGACAGAGAGAAAAAGAGAGGGATGGAAGGAGAGAGAGAGGGGAGGGAGGCAGCCTACACAATATCCACACAGAGGTACAGACAGTAAAGGTGATGTTGCTATAGACTAAATGAAAAATGCTACAGATATTTATAGTAGTGTTAATGGTAACAGTCGTAATGTTAATGATTATAATAACAATAATAACAATAGGACTAGTAACAATAGTCGTTGCAGCAGAGGGTGTCGAGCAGGAACACGGGGGCAGCAGGTGACCCGCAACCACAGATCCAGACTCCACAGCTCCAGAGCCAGAAAATCTGCAGGAAGTGATAGGAGGAGAGAGGAGAGAGACGAGAAAGCACAAGACTACCGGAAAGGGGAGAAGTTGTGTTGATAATGGGATGAGGTTGCATACAGAGGGAGAGAAAGTAGAGGAGAGAGGAGCTCAGAGCATCATGGGAAGTCCCCCGGCAGTCTAGGCCTATAGCAGCATAACTAAGGGATGGTTCAGGACTCACCTGAGCCAGCCCTAACTATAAGCTTTATCAAAGAGGAAAGTCTTAAGCCTACTCTTAAATGTGGAGATGGTGTCTGCCTCCTGAACCCAAACTGGAACCTGGTTCCACAGGAGAGGAGCTTGATAGCTGAACGCTCTGGCTCCTAGTCTACTTTTGGAGACTCTAGGAACCACAAGTAACCCTGCATTCTGGGAGCGCAGTGCTCTGGTGGGGTAGTAAGGTACTATGAGCTCTTTAAGATAAGATGGTGCCTGACCATTAAGAGCTTTGTAGGTAAGAAGAATGATTTTAAATTCTATTCTGGATTTTACTGGAAGCTAATGCAAAGAAGCTAAGACAGGAGAAATATGATCTCTTTTCCTGGTTCCTGTCAGAACACGTGCTGCAGCATTCTGGATCAGCTGAAGAGTCTTAACGGACTTTTTCGAGCAGCATGATAATAAGGAATTGCAGTAATCCAGCCTAGAAGTAACAAATGCATGGACTAGTTTTTCTGCATCATTTTTAGACAGGATGTTCCTGATTTTCACAATATGACGTAGGTGAAAAAAGGCGGTCCTTGAAATTTGCTTTATGTGAGACTTAAACGACATGTCCTGATAAAAGATAACTCCAAGATTCCTCATAGTGGTGCTGGAGGCCAGGGCAATGCCATCAAGGGAAACTATATCTTTAGATAATGCGTCATGGAGGTGCTTAGGCCCCAGAACAATAACTTCAGTTTTATCTGAGTTTAACATTAGAAAATTGTTGATTGTTGAAAATTGTGTGAGGCTGTCTACAGAAGCATTCTTTCTGCTATTTTGTGAACCCAACAGAAATGTGTGATTTTGTGCTGTGTTGTTGTGCATGGTCAAGTGTTTATATTGTTTTGTCCACCCCCTGTATGCGGCAGCTGAAAGAGCAGACAGAAACAGAAACAGATGTAACAGTACAGACGAAGGCGATTCATTTAGAATTGTTTAGAAGAAATCAATAGAACTTGAAGAGGCAGGAGACAAGGGCATGCAACAGAACTGGAAATAGGTGCAAAGGATGGTGTGGGAGTTTTTCTGAGTTTTGTTTGTTTGTATAAGGTGCCGGCGCTGGCAAACACGCACAGAGCAAAGAAAAACAAAATACAGCTCTGTTACAAAACTTTATGGGACTTTTCATCCACCAAAAGAGATTAAACGGATTCCTTCACAACAAAACAAATTCTAAATACTTATTATGATGATGTTATTTAATGATAATGGGGCATCCCAGTGGTCTAATGTTTAGGACACATAGGCCACTGCATAGCCCAAATGCCATCCCCATGTTTCCTGTCTGATTTATAATGTCTGCAATCAAACAGAGGCAAGAGTGCTGACAAATACGTTATTAAAATGCATCAATAATTTCCATTTTTAGGTCCTTGAAAAGTCAGAAGATGATGACTATATAGTTTTCCATTTATATCTCTCAAACTGTAATTTGCCTTTTTGTGTCTCGTCTGGATAAACCTATACTTCCCAAGCACAACTAGCTCAGAGATGTACTGTGCCCTTTTGTCAGCGCTGGAAATTAATCCAACAAAAAATGATGACTCAGCCTTTTCTATCTGTAGGCACACAAGCTGAAAAAGAGAGTTAGGAGGTCAGTTAAACTGAGACACCAGAGAGAAACGTTTCATCTAAATGTGCGCCATCTATCACGCTGCCAGACGCAGCACTGGATTCAAGACTGAAGAATCCGGTTGAAAGGAGTCACACAAAGCTGAAAACATAATTGACACCTCTTGCCAAATCTGCAACTCTCTCATTAATTTCTCACTGCTTACACTCCTAATTTTCTGCCTTGTTCGGTTGGGCTCATGTCAGTTCTTTCTAGTCTATTTAAGCCTCTCAGTTGAAGTGCTTGACTTGTGTGGATACAGGGCAGGAATATCAACGTACATGGGAAAGCAGTCAACAGAGTCAGAGGAAGAATTGTCTGTGCGTTTGGTGTTGAATTGTGGGCAAAGGGTGAGTAAGAGACAGACAAGAGAGAAGGATTCAACACGGAAATAAAACAGAGCAGAGAGAGAAGTCTTGTGGCCTGAAGGGAACTAAAAAATTTCCATGAAAAAAAGAAAATACTTAAAGCTGCAGTCAGTAACGATTGAACATACAGTGCAAAACCTCCTGCGACTCTCTCTGCTGCCAGTATCACTTCGCTAAGCTCCACCCACCAAACCCACAAGCCCGTGCCAGTTGCCCTGTGAAGCCTTAGCCCCTGTAGGGCTCGCTCTTCCCGACAGCCTCGCCAGGGCCACGATTCCTCTTGGTGTGACTCATCTTCACAAAGATGACCCTCAGATGCTTTGTAGAGCATCCCAGACTTCAGAGGCAGCTGCAACAATGTCCAACAGCAAAAGTTATTCCCCACTGTTTGTCATCATGCTTCTTTGGCACTAGTCGATACGAGGGCCATGGCATCAAATATAATGAGCCAGATGCCACGTGTGGAGCCGGATGTGTTCACACATGTTTTGTACTATACACTGTTGTTGGCAAAGGAAGGATGGGCAGTTCTTTCATTGCTGCTCTTGTTTCTCAGCCATTGTGCAAAACTCCAAGGGGGTGAACCACAGATCGGACAGTGAAGCCGACCAAAGCCTGCGTGGAGGGATCCATGTGACACCCCATCGCACATGAGAGATGTAACCGTATTGCTTAGCTTATAAACGCAATCAAAAAAAACTATCAGAGCAATCAGAGACAGTTGGTGTTTGGCAGGTGAACCATGTAGGTGGGCTGATTAAACAGTGATGGATCCGAATCAGACAAACACACTGAGCCGTGAAACTTTTTGTTGGCACATCTACTAGAATTACGGTGTTTTTGCCGTTGCTCTACGTCATCGTGCGCAGTAGACGCTGGTGCCAACAGGAAGTAGCCCTGTAGTAGCATTTTAATGGTCCAAAACTGGCTTCACTGGTCTCCATTCAAATCAGCGGGGTGGCTTCGTCCAGTAATATACTGTCAACGCAAAACTCCTGAAGCTGAGTTTGATTGAGCATGTGCAGGGGAGGGGGGTTGCACAGTGTGTGCACGAACAGTGATTGACACTGCGTTAGAGACTCCTCCTGACTCTGATTAGTTGTTTCATTCAGGAAGTGGAGGATTCTTGCAAATGGCATTAGGAGCAGTAGGAGTTTCTTTTAAACTTTTATTTTTATTACATCATACTATTATTTGTCTCATGTAGGTACCAGTATCAGGACATAGTTACAGTTTTAGCAAATAGGCCAAAAAGTAAAAACAACATCAAATTGATGTGCAAAGCTATAAACTGTGCTCCACTTTTGTACACTACACTTTCGAGAACAATAACAGGATACGTTCATATTATTAGCTGTTTTTATAAAGTGAACAATAGTGAACTAGAAAAGGCTAAATATTAAGAAAATGTGACAGTTGACGTGGCTGTAATGGATATAGTGGATATAACTGAAATACTGTAGGTACTATAACATGAACAATAATAAAATGAATGAATTTTCATTGGCTTTCTCTTTATCTGAAATGACAAAAAAAAAAAAACTACATGGTGCTGGTGATAAAAGTCCCCTGCCAAATACAACGGACTGCAACACACACTGCCTCATATCTAATCAAGCAGCTTTTCTTGCAACTCCCAGAACACACATAAGCACCAGACATTTATATGTTTAATAAAAAGGTGTTCCTCCCTCTTTGTCTGTCTCTCTGTCTGGCAGAGCAGGGCAGTTTTAGATAAAACTGTTTTGACATAATCTGAACGAGAAGCATTTTATGCCACAAAGCAACATGCATAATTCAGTGAGGGAATGTGCTGTGGATGTTGTGTTCCCTCTGGCTGGGATGGTTTAGCCTTTTGTCTGGCTTATCTGAATTGTTTTCAGGGCAATCAGGTGCAGATGTACACACATGCACACTCATCATACGCAATCTCTCACACACACACACACACACACACACACACAGACATGAGCACCAAAGGACAGAAGACACAAGGACTTCAAAATATGCATGACTGTAACAAACGCAAACAGTCACCAGTAAAGAAAAAGTGCTAACAGGTGCTCACTGAACGTGATCCTTCAGTACTGAGCTGCAGCTGTAAACGGGACACATTTTTCTCCTGGGAACTTGACTGGTGTCACAGCTCGGGTATTAGAAGTGTTTACTCCAGGATGACACACACACAAAGACACTGCCAGAAAGCACTGACAGGATCAACATGTTTTCTAATGTTAGATGTCTCCCTCTTCCCTCCAGGTACATGGGTGACATTTGGGGGACAGATAACAGACGAGGTATGAAACGTTTCCCTTTTATCTTGCATGTTGATTTAATCTTAATGGACTTCACTTGTTGATTGATTGGTTGATTTTGTTGTACATAAAGCAGTAAGTATTGAATGTGTTGTGTGTACCTGATGTCATATTACCCAATATCCTGTGCTGAACACACTGTGACATAAACATTATGAAAACGTTATCACTTAGAAGCATCTAGAGTGTTCAGGTTCTTTTGAACTATACATAAAATTGTCTTAACTGCAGGTGGAGTAAGACAATGTTTTCCTTGATGTAAAGACTGTAAAGAAGTTTTGACACAAACATTAAGGGAAAATGTCATAGCACTTATGTTCAAACACTGGAAATGGCACTACAAAAACCAATTACCATTAAGCCATTTTTGCTAAATTCAAAGTGACGTTTGAAAATGGACGACAAAGTCAGGAAGCCTGCAGGCCTAAAAAAAAGTTGTGTGCTCCATTTGGGGAGCAGTGGCCAACCATAGCGAGTCAGATTTTCATGATTTTTCTGTAATATGTAAGCAATTAGCAAAATTTTGTTTGACTCAACCTGTAGAAAGAAATTATTCACCCAACTCTTTCCGTTACTCTACAGCATGACGTTGTGACGGCACAGGAAGCTGCATGCTGCCCTGCTAACGTGCTGCTCACGCCACGTCTCCGGAGTAGACACTGTGTTAATTTATAAGACTAAAGCACATCTCATATGACATATTTAGAGAACAGTAGCTATCTTTGGGTTCAATGATAATAGATCAGAATCGAGGGACATGAACCTTGGCCCTGTCATTGTGACTGTGGGACATCTGTCAAACTGTCATTTTTTTCTAAATGAGTGGTGTCACAGTTAACCTTCCTGCCTGACAGTTTTCTAACACCTAGAGGCTCAATTAGCCTATAGCTTCATTTTGTATTGCTCCCTCACATGTTATAATGAAAGAGGATTTATTTTTACATTTTTAAATAAGTCACAACCTTCACAAAGACTTTAGGTGTCATGAATGAGATTATTTAGACTGACTCAAATGTTATGCTACATAGGACAGACAAAGGACAGGAGGGTCCACACATTATGTGTATGTGTGCGTATAACCCCCTCTACACTCATGCTGATGAGCTCTAACATGCTCTGATGTTGCTGCTGGGTTCTTGGCCTCAGTCATCCCACTCACAGATACACACATATGCACACACTTAGAGTGACACTTAGGGTACAGAGAACAGAGCTCACCCCAGGGGACCCAGAAACAGTAAGCTTATGTAACCGAATTAGTTTTATTACCTTAAGGCTTAATACCATCAACTCACATGGTACGCTCAGAGCTTAGCACCCCTTTTCTCTCCATTATTAACAGAGTTTCACCCTGTTCAGTGTCACTGGTATCACTCACTTCAGTCCACCAGGCTTTGGCTTCAACAGCTGAGATTCATACGAGAAATGCTGATTGGTTCACTTAAAATCTGTTTTAAATATTACATTGTTGACTCAGGTGTGAAGATAATATTCAAGCTCTCAGTAGAGTCACCCAAAGATCATTACTGTCATTGAAAATAACCAATCAAAAAGAAGCCAATGCTCCAGACAGAAGGTCTCAGTGGATCCAAAGTGATTCCGCAACAGCTATAATGCTGTTGGGTTAAAAAGTCCTGAGTGTCCCCTGTTCAATGTCATTGTTATCAAAAGCACCCTAAATATACTACTTGTCCTCAGGTTCAGTGTCCCTGTCCTCATTAAGAAATACACAACTCTGGCACAAAAACACAGTTACTACATAAAATCTGTGTGAGGGCTGCATAAATACACACAAAACAAACACTGAACACTAAAGTCTTGTCTTTTATCCTAGTTATTTTGTATCATTTCTAATTTTATGGAAACAGTAGTAATTGTGACCTACTAACTTATTGATATTAGTCACAAAGATCCTTCAAATGGACAGTTTGACTACTGATATTCGACAAAAGGTCTTCAGATCATCTGGACTAAAGAAACTACAGGGAATAAATAGACATTTCTATTTCCTTCTTGCTGAAGGTTAGATGAGAAGATACCACTCTTGTGTCTCTGTGTTAAGTATGTTGCTTGAGCCTAGAAGGTGATTAGCTTAGCTTAAAGACTGGAAATGGGGAAGCAGCTAGCCTGACTCTCTTCAAAGTTCAGAAATACTCTACTACCAGGAACCTGAAAAGCTCTTTAATTAAAATGTCATATCTGTGCACACATACAAATGTAAAAATTTTTCATCATCGTGACTCCAGGAAGTTACTAACTTGTTGATTTATATTTCTGATTGTGTACAGATTAAACACACCACATACACCACTGTAGGGTTAACGTTAACCGGTTGACATGCATACAATCAATAACTTTAGGCACACACCCTGTGATGGTTAGGGTAAGAGTAATATACCTCCGGGGCTGTCAGGAATAGTTAGCTAGCTAGCTCCGGTTAGCTCCCCCAGGTCCAGTCACACAGACCACTACAGCCAACACAGCAGACGTGTCCAGCAACAGCTGAGCGATAGTGTTAATGTTCGTAAGGCTATTCTATCATTAAATTCTCAGTAATGTTGTAAAGTTTTTACCTAAATCAAGATACATCTGGCTCGTGATGTACAGAACATTCTTGGTTTGTGAAACTTAAAATCACTTTAGAACAAATAAAATATACAACAGTATGAATTGAAACATTGCTATTATTATTATTACACTATTATAAATAAAGTATTAATATACTGTAATAATATTATATAATTATAGTATAGAGTAAATATTAACGCATAATGTACACTGATTGGTACGTGGCTTGTGGGACGAACCATATATGGAAGTTCAACTTCAGTCAACTTCCGTCACGTTTGTCTGGTTTGTCTTCGGGCTGCAGCTGGACCCTTCTCCCTGTTTCCAGTGTTTATGCTAGGCTAAGCTAATCACTTGCAGGCTCTTCTAGCTTCATGTTAAGTGAACAGAGGGTGGTACAGTATCCATCTACTCATCTCTCAGCAAGGCAGTGTATAAGCATATTTTTATTGACAGTTTTGATAGCTTATTAGAAAGTGAGTAGGTCACTAATTACGGCTCATTAATTTCTTATTTAATAATATGCTTTCTGGACTGCAGTTATAAATGCTAGTAATCTGTTGGTAGGGATTGAGCACTACAATGATCGATCAAGGGAGTTTTTAGCAACCTGTCAACTAATTATTACTGATCTACAAAGCTTTAATAAATTATATATAAGTGCTACTAAGTTTGTCTGGGCAGCAGCACATTCCCAGACAGGAAGTTTAAAAGAGTGCTGGTGGGATGCAAGTAAGCATTGCTTACTCATTCAAAAAGGCCAAAAGTGGATCCATAAATCCTAAAGTGAATTTGAAGAAAGTGTCTCTTGTCTGTGTAGACTTTGATGTAGGGAGTGTGGTGGGGAGGATGATGTGCAGTCATAAAATCATCTCAAGGCTGTGTGGGTAGTATGTGGGAGGCTACCACGGCCTTGATTCTGGGGGCTGTGAGAGAGAAAACGTTTTTTCTCATTACGTCTGTTCTATGTATGGAAATCAAATTCTCCCGCACCCTTTGTGCCCTGGAAAAAAACAAAGAAAGAAGCCTGAAGTGTAGTCATCCATGTATTGCTGCAACTTTACAGTGACTCATACTTTTTCTGAAGGTGAGGTTACAAGTGCATGTATATCTATAGTGTTTGTGTGCAAAAGACAGATAGCAGTTTGTTCTCTCTCTAACAAAAATGACCACACCATTTGGACCATTACTCACATTTAGTTAATCCAAAATGTCCAGAAATCGGTGTAAGCAGCGATGCTTCATTAGCAAAACAAACTTTCTGACCTTGTGAATGTAACTATAAACACTCTGTGACAGTGACTGACCTTTCAGTATCGTATGAGACTCATTGTGAATGAGCAATCACCGAAGGCCAAACAGTCACCCTTTGAAAACTGACTGGATCAGCCTCATCTTGGCTCTCTCTCTCTCTCTGACTATCTACTCGACAGTGTCTCTTCATCTGTCTTTTTAAAGCTGTCTTCAGCACATTCCTCACCTTACCTAACCTTACCTTACCTAATTTTACATACTGTTTGTCCTTAAATTCTCACTACTTTTCATTTAACTCAACTATCCAGCACTTTCTCACTTCTTCTATTCATATCCATCTTTTTTCTCTATCCTCCTATTTTCTTACCTCTGCAAAAAAATCTCTTAGCCCACCCTTCCTTCACTTCATTGAAAATCACCCTCCAGTGCCGCCAACAGTTGTGACAGAGATGGTTTCCTCTCTGCACTCAGCAGAGACCAGTTACAGGAAGAACATGTTCATTTTCTCGGACATCCCTCTTTTCCAAATATTTCTCTTCTTAACTGCCCCCTAGTTTTAACCTCTCCATTATCCAACTCTATCTTTTCATTCTGCTCTGTTTGCCTTAATGGTAGTTCGGGTCTCAGAGATGGAATAAACCATTTTGAAATGTGCCCATTGTCTCTCTGTCCTTTACTTTCCTCCCTCGTTCGACCCTCTCTGAAAGCAGTGGATTTGCATCTTAAAATAATAGAGTTCAGATTTGTGAAGAAAGTACTGTATAAGCTGGAAAATATTAAAATATCATTAGTTTCCTTTTACAGGCAAAGGTTATCATACACCAGTCTGATATGCTGGGTCGTTACAGTACTGACCTTGTTAAACAAATCAGCTATCGATATTCATATAGTTTGTCACTGTTATAATAACTCCACTGTTATAATAAAATCCAGTGTTACCACCATCATTTACATTCATTTAGTCATGGAGGCCTGCACCCTCGTCCCTAAGACTTTTTACTGCAGTATAACAATATCATCATGATACTTCCTTCTCCTGCTAGTCATTTTTCTAGTGACTCTCTCTACACTGACAGATGACATCCTAATACCTAATACTAGTGTGTCTTTCGCAGGCTGCCTAATCAGTTTAAAATTGATTTTAAGATGTTACTGGTCATGTTCCTATGGGAGCAGTCTTCTGGCTGCAGTAACGTTTTTAAATCACTTTTAACACCCATTTTTATTGACTTGACATTCCTTAATTCTTTTACTTGGTATCTTTTTGTAAATCTTTTTAATATCATGTATCATTTATTACACCATCACAACACTTTTCTATACCCCGGTTTTATTAAATTGATCTAAATTCTTGCTTGGTGCTATAAATCATTATCACACAAAGGCTTGGACTGCTGCCCTGTTTCTGCTGGTTGCAGAGAGAAGGATGAGACAGATTCTCAGAGGAGAGATTATCAAATTCTTCTAGAAACAACACCTCCGCTGTCTGCCACCCCTGAAACAGCAACACACACACCTACATACTGTGCATGCACTTGAAGGCATATATACAAAGGCAGACAAACAGATTTCATGCAGACATGTAAACACAAACATACACGCACCATGTGCACACCCTTCTGTCCCCACACGTTCACTAACCAACTCATGCGCAACTCAACAGGGAAATGTTGGCAAATTCACTTTAAGTCCCCATGTAATATAACTCACCACGGGGAAATTGGATCTCGGTCTGATGATTTATGGACACTGTGTCTGCAATAATATGGAGGGATATCTGCATATATGCCCTGCACACAATTTTATAAAGCATGAGCACTTATTAACTAAAGAGGAATGAGTTGACACTACCGTACATCGTAGAGTCAAGTATTTATTTATTTGTTTATTACAGATAGTCACACTTTGATCCCACAATAAAGTCTGCACTTCATGAGTTTTACAGTACAACCACACAAGCTCTGTTTGGGCATGTGAGTTCAGGCAGACTACCTGAGTGCTCTACTGCAGTACACTCACACAGGACATACAGTACTGTGCTTGCTGCAGCATATCCAACACACCTCTTGCAATAGGACCTCCACCCCAGCATCCACCTGAGGGCTCTAAAGGGTTGGGTTATGCTCGATCAGAACTAAACTCAGCAACAAAAAAAAAAGAAATGTCCCTTTTTCAGGACATTGTTTTGTTTCTGTAAACATCCAAATAACTTTATAGAACTTTATTGTACCTGCAGTACAATCACAGTCGTTAAGACGCTAACAGCGTACAGACGGTGATTTTGACCTCCCCTTGTTCAGGGACACATTTTTCAATTTCTGTTCAGTTTATGTCTTGGTTGTTGAATCTTTTTATGTTCATACAAATGTTTACACATGTTGAGTTTGCTGAAAAAAAGCAGTTTAAAGTGAGAGGACCTTTCTCTTTTTGCTGAGTTTAGTGAGTACAATGTGTTATGCAGAAATTAAAAAATAATAGTTTTGCACTCTGTTGTTCACATAAAAAATGGCAGGAAAAGAATGGAAAACAAACTTGAGAGAGAAGTTCAAACCTTGGCTTACTTTCTCGCCTCTGCACAGCTGGCCAATCACAGCGAGAAGTGGATGTAAATGTCGTCTTATCTGTTTTGGAAAGTTTCACAATACTAAGAGAGGAAGATTCCAAAGCTATTCCACTGTCTGATAAGCAGTTTCGAAGAATTATAGTGGCAATCCCCAATCCCTGTTGTGCTGACTTTGGTGTATCCTTGAGTGGAGTGTAAAACTCAGATTCTAAATATCAAACTCTGTGCATATTCACGTAATAATCCATTCAACGTGAGCTGGTTGGTGCTATATACTGAATAGTACAGTAAAGAGACAGTAAAACACATTAGTATGTAAATTACTTGTATTCTGCCGAAAGTTTAGGTAAAACCACAAAAGACAACAAGTGTGCTATCCAGGGAGAGAAACTGCAGGGCTCAGCCTCAGAAATAAAACAGTTAGTCCCAGCTTTACTTACTAAATCATTGTATATATTTTACGTTAATTTTTGTGTGATAAATGATACAGTGGTTCTATTCCCGTTCTCTGTAAAAGGTTGTTGCTTGGCCTGGTCTTTATCTGTCCCTTTACTTGCATCTTGTGGCTATTCGAGAGTTTACACCTCTATTTTGTGTGTGGTCTGTTGTAAGGATTCTTCTAAGTCCCTGTCTTGATTGTCTTGTAAAAAAGTGACATACAGTTAAACAGTAATGATCCTCTGAAGCAGGCCTGATAGTAAATCATAGTTTAATAAAAACCTGCACTGCTTTGATGGTGTGCCACCTTTTTCAATTTTTGTTTTTTGTAAAGCTCAGACACTGTAGCTGGGGCACATAAATATTAACCTTTGACAAGTACCTAAAAAGAAATAGATCAAATAGAAATTAATGAAAATTATACACACTGACCTTTTCGTATTCTCTCTTTGTGTGTGTGTGTGTGTGTGTGTGTGTGTGTGTGTGTGTGTCCTGACCTCTTGCCAGGTTGCAGAGAAGCTAATGACTATTGCCTATGAGAGTGGAGTCAACCTGTTCGACACTGCTGAGGTCTATGCAGGCGGAAGGTGGGTGTCATACGAACCTGTCAACTCGTTCGCAGTTCAGTTGAGCTCATAGCAACCTATTCAGTTTTTAGTGTGATCAGGTGCAGACACTTGGCCCCACTGTAGCTACGGGAAGTTTTTTTTTTTTTTTTAGTTATAATTTCTTTTTAGCACAAGGGTTTCATAAATGTAGAGTCCAATTTATTCCACTCATTTAGTCAAGTGAGAAACAACCAGAAGGTCTGGAGTGTTTTTGCTTGACATGAAACAAAGACGACTGGCAACAGACAAGGGGAGCACACGGAGTAAATACACGTGTGGGAGGAGGATAACTATATTCAGGTGAAACTTATCAGGGTGGGAAAACTCTCAAAGACAGGAAGTAAAGTCCCACAAGCCACCTGAGGAAATATTCTATCAAAATAAAACAGGAAATAACAATCAAAACCCAAAACCATGGCAGGATGGTTTAAACACTTACTGTGAGACTCAAATTCTTTTGATTGTGACTCTATAAGTAAACTGTGCCTTAGGATGTTGTTTAAATGTGAGGAGAAGTGTAAAATATCAATATTCATGCAGAATTCCAGGTTAATGTTTAGGATTATAGGATTTGTTTGTATTTTTGTAGCATGACAGCCATCACTCTGAACTTTAAATTTAAACTGATGCAATCAAGGGGAATCTACTGCAGAGTATCTCTCCACCCTGTGTTAGCTTTATCAGGGATCAGTAAGAAAATGATTTTTAAATTTAGGAGAAGTCACAGCAGAGTGACACTACATTTAAAAAAAATTGAGAAATGATATTCCAAAAGTCCAGAGTGAGTGGAGTTTAACCTTTATGCTGTTAAAACACCAAAAGGACCACTGAAGAATTATTTCCTTTTGCTGTATCATAAGCTAACAGAATACATTAAAATATACAATAATAAAACACAAATGTTGTCAAACATAAGCCTCCATCAAGTTGACACTTTTATCAAAAGTATCAAGTATCAAATACTTTTTGAACGCACCATCTAGCTGCTAATTCATGAGCAAACTGGTTTGCCATCTTTGTAATGCACAGGAGGCTGTTTAGATTAGTGACAATGAAGCGCAGGGCGGATATTGTTGAGGGAGTGTTTATGAATTCAAACTGCAATCCAATAACGCCACCTCATTTATGTTGCCTTGCAGGGCCGAAATCATTCTCGGAAACATTATCAAGAAGAAATGCTGGAGGTAATGGTGACACAAATGTGTGTGACGGCTGCATCACTTGAGTGTGAGAGGGAGAGAAAGATGGAGAAGGACGATGTGTGTGCGTGTTGCAGAAAGCAGCGAGAGAAGTGTATGTGTGTATGTGTGTGTGATGCGCGCATGAAAGATGCATGTGTGTGCAAACGCATGTGTTAGTGTTGTAAGTGTGTGTAAGAGACATCCATGTTTGATGTTGAAGTGAGAAATATTAAGCGATGCTGACATATTGACCATGATCTCTGCCTTGTCAGGGCTTTGTTTTTGTTTCTTCAAATCAGACTGTATTCCTATTTTACTGTAATTTACGTATTTCTGCACACACCCAGGCACACAGATACATTGCCTGCAGGCACTTTCTTTCTTTCCACGAATTTCAAATATTCCCTTTATGGAGTTATTTAAACATGCTCAGTTTTTTATTATTTATATACTCTGTAGGAAACAGGGAGGAGAGGAGTTACAGTAACATCAAAGGAAGTAACTGCTGGAGCCTCTCTCTGTTACAGTTACATCAGTCAGTATGAAGCAGCTCTAATGCGGGAACACTTAGCTGCTAATCTCTTCTCACTGTGTCTACTAGTTGTTCCATCATTGCGCATCTTAAGCTTCAGACAAACCTGAAGATTAGCTGACACCCACAAAGACTGGACAAACCACGCATAAAGATTGTTTCCACCAACCTCCTCAGATGTTTTAGTCTTTGACAGTCAGGAAGGAGCGTAAACCTTATGACTGAGCAAACACACTAAATAACAGACTGAATGACATGGCAGTAACCACTGGAGGTCTGGCTTTAGACAACACAGCAAATCCCGTAAGAACCGCAAATGTCACGTGTTCTTGTATCAGTTCAAACGTGGATGGCAACCAGCAGCCTGCACTGTTTATATGCAGTGACATTTGCATTGAAAAGGCCAAAAAAAGGAGAAGACAGAGAAGAGCAGAGTTTGGATGAGATCGGCCATTTCAGTTGTCAGTCGTAAATATCAAACATGTTTTTTAAAAAATCCCTGGCAGCGACTGGATCTGAAGACTTGAGATTAAGCTCTTTACATATCATACACTATGAGATTTTTATCAGCCGACTGTGAACACCAGCTGACCCAGACTGGAATAGACCCGGTCTAACTTGGTCCGATCTCGTCCGACTTGGTCGTCACGCCCAAATCATATTTATAATCGGTTCAGAAGTTGTAATACGTGACCCTGCTTTTAATCTGAGTGTTGTGGGTCCCAGGGATAGGTACCTCAACAGCAGATATGTAACCTGTATGAAAGCAGGTGAAACAGGAGCAATGAAGATACAGTGCGTCTGCGTTTCGTTCCAGATTGCTTCTCTGGTTGTTTTATTAAACAACTCAAAACCGGGTTAACACAACACATTTCTGTTTGAAGCATTTCAAGTTCAATGTCCAGGTCCAATCAAGCTTAATCACATATTCAACACTCTCACCGTCTCAAAAAAACATCTTCTCACTCTGGTCAGTTACTGTTTCTGTGATAAACACATTTCCCCTGACTTTCACATCCAATAAACATCTTTAGTAATTTAAATACCTTTTCTTCTCACAGTATGTAACTGCTTTTACACTCCTATTTACACGTCTAATATCTTGGGCATCGCCTATACTGCCCCTTTCATGTGTCAGAATTGACAATAAACTTCTGTAATAATTACAGTTCCCTGAAATGTATTGACTAGAAAGTGCTTATGCTACATATTTTAACGATATTTAACAGAAAGAGACGTCAGTATTCAAGTTAGCAAGTTGTGTTTTACCATAGAGCATATTGCTTATAAACCTCTTATCAAACAAACACCTAAAATATCTTCAGTGTACAGGAGCCGTCGCAACACTTTCCCACCGTAAACTTTGAATATCTAGTATCCGTAGCACCAACATGCCATCATCGCGGTAAAGTTTCCGCCTCACTGCTCTACAGAAAACTGCATACCTCACTCTATTAGTCCAACACCAATTATTTTAAATTAAAACGCAAATATATACAATAACCCATAATGATTAACCTGATAATCGTTAATTTGTTTTCACATAAACACTACCTTAGGTGTGCCACATGAGTGGACTACATTACACCAGTAAGCGTGACGCTGGTGTAGTAAAGACACACTGAACTTGACATTTCAGTCTCTGGGTGTCATCATGAGTTTACAGAGTTGAAAGAAAAGAAAGAACAGGCGGTACTGATGATGTTGATCCACCTTTCACTCCTAGTTCAGATTTTATGCGAAATATAAATGACTAATGTAACACACAACTCTCAGCGCAGCTTGTTTTTTAATATTTTTAAGTCAGAATGATGTTAGTCACGTGTCACATGTGACTCAAGTCTGCAAATACTTTTCACTTTTGGAAATGTCCACATTAAATCAGCAACTCTGTACCTCTGTACCTGAAAATTATGTGTTGAGTGGATCCTTAAATGTGATGACAGTAAGCCATGTTTGCGCTCCTTTTGTGATGCTAATTTAACAGTTTAATCATTTAACAGAGCACCAGACGTGTAATGACAAGGTGTCACCCAAATCTCCTAATGTGTTTCACTGATAAGTCCAAAAGTTTTAGGATGTGAATAAACACATCCATGATGGGACCAGATGTGGTAACAAGGAAAGATGTATTTGCAGAGCCCCTGTACGTCTAAATAAGAGAATACAATGAGTACAATGCATAATGTACCACTCACTCTGCTGTGTCTTTCTTCTCTCTCTCTGTATCTTTCTCGGCACTTTAACAGGCGCTCCAGCTTGGTCATTACAACTAAACTCTACTGGGGAGGAAAGTAAGTGAGAAAGTCTCTACACTGTAATTCTCATGCCTGAAAGATGATTGTGAATAGCTAGCTAGTTAATTAGTTAGTTAGTTAGTGAGTTAGTTATGCTGTATTTATTTTGGAAGTCTCATTGAGATCAAGATCTGTTTTATGAGAGATACCTGAGAACAAATGATGTACAGTATATACAACATCATATAACTACAATTCAGTCACACTTATTAAAATAAAATATGAGAAAGTCAAGGTAAAAGTCCTGCTATATTAAAATGATTAGCCTACAAAAACAAATGAGTTCTCAAATCAATCGATAATCAGTCAAGAATATCAAAAAAACAATGAATTACACAAATAGGTTGTGTCTTTATATCACTTTTTACATTCAATATGTACCTGTAACTCTATTTCAAAGACAACCAATTCCTCTGCTGAGTCTGGAATGGTGATGGGGATCTGTTTTATAGCATACACACACACATACATACAAACACTCCTTGGCAGAGACTGTCCAACTGGCTCTGCTGATAAGGATAAAGTTATTCTCTCCGCTCCTGAGCATTCCTTCATTCCCGTGAGGAGAATTCAGTCCTTTATCCTTCAGAGTTTGGATGCATAACGATGCTGAACAGTTGAAAGTGCACTGACCTATTTTCTAGACTGATAGGGACATGTCATCCCCCTCAACAAGTCAATTTAATGCACGTCTGTGATTTTTGGCTACGGGTCCATCCAGCCTCTCATACAGTATGTTCACTCATTGACTTTGTTGGAGACAAATGCACAGAAACAGTTAACTCTAATGGCAGTCTTGTCTGAGGGATAAAATGTACACATAAAACACTGGCAAGTTTATTTTTTGAAGTGAATTAACTAAATTAAATGGACTTTAAAATGCATTGGTTAGTGTACAGTGTGGCTTATCATTGGTTTGTGTTTGTACCATCAGAGCAGAGACAGAGAGAGGACTTTCAAGGAAACACATTATTGAAGGTAAGACACACACACACACAAGATGAACAAAACAACAACTTTAGGCTTTTTTCACTTACAACAAAATAAATTCCGCCTTCACGGTGCTGGGTTGTGTCAATTGAATCACCTTCCACTATCTCAACCCCCCACACATCCCCCTGTGTCTCAGGTCTAAAAGGCTCTCTACAAAGGATGCAGCTGGAGTACGTAGATGTAGTTTTTGCCAACCGCCCAGACAGCAATACTCCCATGGAAGGTGAGTCACCCAATCAACCTTCACCTTTATACCTAAAACGCCAATCAAGTTGTAAGTTAGATGCTTCTCTGTCTCTTGCCCTGAGGTCAGAGTGTCTGGGTTTATGATGTCAGGTGTTGATATCATTTGTATTAGAATACAATTACAGTTTTTAATCTACTTTTGAGTGACCTGTGACTTGAATTGCGATGTCTCCGTAGTTTTGTAACATGTAAAAAACAAAAACCCTTTCAGGATTGGTGTGTTTTTTGTTAGAGCACCAGAGAGAGGGGCTTGATATTCACTGGCTGGAAGGCAACTGTGTTCTTGCAAGAGAAATTAGACAGACAGAAAACAAAATGGTGTGGATTTATTATCCACACCATGTCTCAGCCTGAAACACAGTGAAATATTTTTTATCATTGTGTGTTTAGTGTTCATGTTATACTGAACTAGATGTCTAGAAGTCCTGTTTTACACCTGCAGAATGGCCCTTTTCAGTATGAGGCAGATAACCCTGTGTAATTCATTATGCAGAAGTTGCTTATTGATATGCGTATCAGTAGGGTATTGGTTTCTGATTAGTCGTCATCAATTATTGTGTGCTATTGCCTTCTACAGCAAAAGCCCATTAACTCTGGGTTTTCTCACAATACCTCAATAATTAGTGCTCGCAACTAATCAATAAGGATGTTGAATTAGCTTTTTGCTCTTTCTTTGCTCCAAATTCCTGCTTTCCTACAGTTGGGCTTAAAATGTATGTAATTAAGCAATTCAATGTAATTAAAAAGGCCAGATTGACTGAAAATTAAGTCTTTGTAACTCAGATCACACTATAGACTGATATGCTAAGTGTATATAAACATATATAAACAACATTAAGGGATATTAAGTCTGTTATATGGAAACATAACTTAGTGTAGCAGATAGTCTAACAATATGATATTTCACACACAGAAAGACCTTGATTGTCCACTTTTCTTTCTTTTTGCTCTTTATAGATTTCTACTGTCCTACCATCTGCACTCACTGTTCATTTCCTATTGAATTCTTTCAGCTATTAGATCTATTGCTCTTTCTTCCATGAAACTAGTTTTGCACTCCCTTATTTTTTCTTCTCTCTCCTGTTATATTGGCCGGAAATTGAGGCAGATAGCATTTAAATGTGAGCGCAGTGTGCACAGTCACGGCATGCTGGAGCTGGGTGGCAGGAGGGCAGGCAGAGGGATGGAGAGGAAGGCGGTAGTTCCAAGAGAGAGGGAAGAGACAGAATTGTATGCTGTTCTTAATACTGTGTTATTTCCCTTGACAGGATGGTGTTTAGTAAGACATCTGTGTTTCAGGTTGTTAATTATCAGTTACCAAACTGAAGGGGAAACAAAAACCTGCCTTCTCAAGTTTAGGTCTTCTTGATTATATATTCTTCTGCAGATCTTTTCTTTAACTTCTCTATCCTCTATTTCTTTCTTTTGTGTTGCTAAACTTTTTCTTCTCTGTCAGTGTTTTCTTCAACCTTCTTATCCCTCATACTCTGTTGTCTTGCCATGAACCAGTTATGCAGCGTGAAATACAAGGGTCCTGCCACAGTGAAGGATTGCAGTATAATTGGAGTGAGCGCAGGGCGAAGATGAATAACCTTAATGACAATCCTTATCTGAGTTTTTGTTGGCCCACACTGCAGTTGGCTCGCACAGACAGCAGTGTTGGAGCTAACTGCATCATTAAAAATGCAGCAGCTTGAATGTGATCAGAGGGGCTTTAGAATGTGAGCTTGTTAGTTTGTCCCCAGAGCTGTTAGGGATTGGGTGATGAGCCGTCAGCAGGTAAGAGAGACTTGAGGAGGCAGGTGGCCTCTGCAGAGGGTTTTTTTAACTTCATCAGTGCATCACAAAATTGGAACAATATGACTAAGTTGTGTGCTCTCAAGGCCACACTTTTTGTCTTGCTTGCTTTTTAATTTTCTTAGTCTTTCTTGTTTTCATGCTGTTTTCGACTTCTGACTGCGTCGGCAAACCCAACGCCTGCTTTCTCATTGTTTCTATTTCATTTTTCTTTTCAGTTTGTTTGTTTGTTTTCTGGGTTCCGTCCGTCTCTTTCTCTCTCTCTGTCTTTGGCATTGTCTTTTCATTTGGCTTGGCTAATGTGGATTCAGAATGTGTTCAAGTCACGTCAAGCATGTGAATGATGTTCTTTGTCCTCATCGTTTGTGGGGGGAAAAAGCAAACAAACAGAATGCACTCTTTCAATCACTTTCTCTTCCAGTGGCACCACTGTTTTCTGCTTTCTATATGTGGAGTGTGTTGGGAACCACCTCATGTATATGAGAAATGCATAAGAAATCATGGTCTAAAAGATCCTGTTATTTGATTTCTTAGTTTGAAGATTTTTTTGTGGTTACTTTTAAATAAATTCTGCATGATTTTAATACCACCTCTTGAGTAACACTGATGACAAACCCTGACTGTTGCACAAAGAACAAACTGATTGTAAGTTTGGACCACACATTAATCTCTACTGTGTCCATTCCCACTTATTAAGCCTTAATGAAGTCCATTAAAATTTAAATGTGATGCTTTACCTCTACTGAGTGAATACTGGCTTTAATTTATACATTGAGCTTGGTTCCTGTTAACAACAAGAAAAGAAACTATTTTAATATTAATTAAAATATTTTTGTCTTACATTGAGATTTTTGTGTCTCCTCAGTGTCTCAGGAACATAGCCTAAAGGACTCATTTTGAATGTGGGTTGATCCAGCGGGGATGAATGTGTTCTGAGTGCAGTGAACTGAATGTGAAAAGTGACAGGAGCATTTGAGGATAATTGTTACGGCTTTTTGAAAGACATACTAGTGTTTTGTCTGCACAGGGTGGAGTCAATTAATAAGTTGTTCATTGTCTTTATATATCTACAGAGATTGTTCGGGCCATGACCTATGTGATCAACCAAGGCATGGCGATGTACTGGGGGACGTCTCGGTGGACGGCCATGGAGATCATGGTAAGCGGCAAGGAGCTTCTGGTGTCACTTCTGCTCATGACAACCGTCTTTTTGTATAAAAAGCACTGAAATAAAAAAGAATATTCAATTGGATTGTTTAGTTACTCAGTAAACTTTTTTGTCTAACTTGCTTGACTTGCTGTACAACAGTTTGAAACTTGCTGGAGTTTTTTGTTGGGTTGAGTTACAAAGTAACATTATTTACAGAGACAAAAGTACGGTCTAGACCTGCTCTATATGAAAAGTGCAATGAGACAACTTCTGTTATGAACGGGCGCTGTTTAAATAAACTTTAATTGAATATCTCAGAACAACAGAAGATAGCCACTTTGCTTGGCAGAAACTCGCAACGCAGTAGCTGTTGACTGTTGATCCAGAGACCCATAGAGTAAAGCACACCTGGTTTCTATACCTTAACAGATTTAAGACCCATTTTAGCAGCTTATTATCTTGTACCATCTTGGACACATTGCTGATGCATAATCATGGTAGTGAACGAAAAATTAAACAGGAAATGGGAGGAAACTGGAAAATCAGACTAAAGGTTTGAGGAAATACAGCTGTTTCTAGGAAGTGTTCCCACAGAGGCACAATGGCTTCCTCTGGCTTTGTGTCTTCTTCCTATCAGAATCAATCTACCTCCCGTTTCAACTCTCGCTACAGTAATGAATATATACGGGGGGTGCAAAGCCACAGCAGAGAGTTAAAAAATAAACACATCCCTGAAGTGACATTCAAGGTCCCCATTCTCTCCTCTCTCATCTGTCTCTCTCTGGTGTCTTTATCACCCTCCCTTCCCCCCCACTAAGCCCAGCGTGATGTGTTGACATCCTCTTTCTGTGAAAGAGAGCAGATATCTTTGTAGAACACAAGCCCAGATGAAAGCCGTGTAATTTAGATAGCATCAGTAATGACGAGGGGGTAAACACAGCTTTGCAGTGTACGTGACAAGGCAGCAGTTCAGTGTACACAGACAGAGACGTACATGCAGACACAGGCTCGAGGCGCATGACATAGGTTGCTGCACAAAAGGGCAACTTGTAATTTGTAAGTTGAGTGAAAGCACCGACATTATCCTTGCGTTATGCTGAGTAGATTCCCCCTCCTACTACCCAACGCGTTTGTGTGTGTGTTTCCTCTGGCATGTGTTCTCAAAGGACGTGTGGAGATTCAGATGAAATGGAAGGAAATTTGAATGTGATGAGTTGTGATATGGAATATTGATTGGGTGACTTACTTTCAGCGCTGCATTTGATTTAGCGCCATGTTCCCCACAAGCTGATTAACACCCTCCCTCTCCCATCACTTCCCTGAATTTCCCAGCACTATCCATCACTCCTAACCTTTGCTCCTGCCTATCATCATCGGGGTTTTTTTCTCATTCTTTCTCTATGCTCATCAAAGTTAAGATCCAGCATCATAACAAGCAGCCATTAATTCTCGCCCCTTTTTTTTTTTTATCTCTAGGAGGCGTATTCGGTGGCTAGACAGTTTAATCTGATCCCTCCAGTGTGTGAGCAGGCAGAGTACCATCTCTTCCAGAGGGAGAAAGTAGAAGTGCAACTGCCTGAACTTTACCACAAAATAGGCAAGTTTTCTTTGTGTGTTGTTTGTGTGTGTTTGTGTTGTGCAGTATTGTGGTGAATCAGTCAATCAGTGCCCAATGATGAAATGTCTTCTTGTCCCAAGACAAGTTAGCACAAGCATCCTGTGGTCAGAACATTCTTGCAGTCAGTTTATCATAAATTAATAAATGCAGATAAATTATCTCCATCATTCTCTGTTGCTCATCTTTTTTCATCTTCTCACATTTTCACTTTCCTGGCACTGTTCTCTCACATTTTTTTACACTCTTCCTTTTGACACATATTACTAATACTCCTCCTGTTTTAACTCCTGATGGTTCCCATGGTGACAGGAGTTGGGGCGATGACGTGGTCACCGCTGGCGTGTGGCATCATCACGGGAAAATATGAAAACGGCATTCCTGAATCTTCCAGGGCATCCATGAAGGTAGGCGAGCTAACTTCAAATGAAAAAAAAAAAGAATGTCTATGTGAATCAAAGTCATAGATAAGATGCTTGCCTTTGGTGTGGGAGACCTGGGTTCAATTCCCACTGTGAGACATCCGCCATTGTGTCCCTGAGCAAGACACTTAACCCCCAGTTGCTCCAGAGGCGTGCGACCTCTGACATGTATAGCAATTGTAAGTCGCTTTGGATAAAAGCGTCAGCTAAATTAATAAATGTAAAGTGGACGCTTTGATCCTTAACACCTAAATCCACTTCAATTAGTGTCACTTTCAGGAAAGACTATTCAAAAATGAGACTAGTTTCATGAAGAATCCTTGGAAACTGTGCTTCAACAAGGACAGTGTTTTCTTCTTTAAAAAAGGTCACTAAACACGAGATAAACTAGTACGAGATAGTCAGCCGACAACTGTTACCACAGATGGCGAAAAACAATCAGGCACCGGCCCTCAGAAAACCAGAAGCTTAAAGAGCTGAGAGGTGATGAGATGATCAGCTGCAGATGTGGAGGAGAGCCAGGTGCCAAGATGACTGCAGACAAAAACCCCACACCACAACAAAAAAACACCCTGAACATAAAGAAAACACAAAACTGAATACTCAGTCACGTCTAAACCCTGACATAGAGTCCTTTAAGTCTTATGTTCTTCTTGTGGGTACTCCTGTGGGTCACGGGATTCCTGTTGGATTCCCACTGGATGGGTGTCAGTTTATCTATTCATCAAGGGACTTGGACAGGTCACAAAAAACGTCAACGGTAGGGGGCAGCACGGGAATCATAGGTCAGTTAATATATACAAATATAGCTCACAATGAAACCCAACTTGTAACAAGGGGTCACAAGTAGACACTGCTGTTGTGACTGATTAACTTCAATTTGGCTAACTATTTAGAAATATATCAATGCCAAAATCTTTAGGTTGCTTGTGAAACCAGCCTGAATGTATGGATGTATGTGAGGGACATGCAAACACACATTTAGTGCTTCAAGAGCTGAATCACTGCAGGTTTGTTAACCTCAGCAGTGCATGTCTGCAATTGGTCACCATTCAAAAGACATTGGGCCTTGTATTTTGAATTTTCTCCTAGATACGAACACAATTTAGGAGTCCCGACCTGTCAAAGGTGTCATGTGCAATTAGTGTGCTGTTATCCCGCTATTATGGATTGTATATTTCATTACTTTGAAGCAATTGAAATCTTATATAAATTACACTTCATAATTATGTTGAAGTTATCCTGTTTGCAATTTGAATAATATAATTCTAAATTAACTGATATAGCTAAACAATATCATTCATTTGAATTTGCTATTGATGCTGTTTTATGACACTATAGTATTACAATTCATTAAATGATGCACTAATTGAAGGTTAATTTGTGGCTTTATATAACAGGGTCAGCTGGAAGTGTAATCTTTTGGACACCTTAGTCCCTCAGGCCCATAGAAGAGAGTGACAGTGTGCTGATATGTTGGCAAAGACAGATGAATGGTTGTTGATTACCACGGGCTGTGCTTCTGCAAATGGGAAAGTTGTTAGAGCCGCAACTCCGCAGACAGACACATTGATCCAGCCCTTTCCGCTTAATATGCTGCAAAAATGATAGGCTTACCTTTATAGATGTCCAAAAGCAGGACTTCAATCTCCAAACTATGAAGTTCTTCTTATTACACTTCGATATCATTTTCATGAATGAACACTTCCTGACATATAGGGCAGGACTCGTAGCCTTATATGGTATTATTGGGGCATTAGTTATGCTAATTTACTATTCTGAATCAACTCACTCATTTACACACAAAAGACATTCATCATGTTTACGTGGGTCATGACGTGGTACACTCGTACGAGCCCACCATACGAAAAAATAGTAACAGAAACTTCTTGCATGAGGCTTGCATAATGTGACATACACATGGGCCAGAATCCCTGCGGAAGACTTTCAACACCTTTTTGATTATACGCCATAGCAGTTGACACATTTAGTAAAGTTACACTGGATATCACTGTGAATCTTATTTCCATTGTTTTTGTAATTTTAAGGCAGTTTTCTTCACTGCATTGTAACAAACAAAAAGGCCTTAGTTGAGAAATGAACTGTAGGAACATTTTAAGTGTTTCACCTTTCTCAAACCCGACCCTGTAGATGAGAAGACTCATGTTTTTGCGTTAACTATGAAGGTACTGACCCCTGCTGGTTAGTTTAGCTTAACATAAGGATTGAAAGCAGGGGGAAACAGCTAGCCCCGGTTCTATCCAAAGGTTAAAAAAATCGAGCGCACTAATTAACATGTTATGTGTTGTTTGTTTAATCAATGCAAAAGCAGAAGTGTAAAAACAACTTTGAGATTTAAGGGAGGTTAGGTAATAGACTCAAAATGTCTAACTATTCCCGATACAGGGAAGCAGGGTGTGTGAGTGCTGGGTGAAGAATGGCTCGAAACGTCTCAAAAAGTAGTCAAACCCACCTTTCAGGGTCATATTATCAGCCCCAACCAGTATGCCTGTGGCCCTGGTGCCCTGTGTAGAAGAAACAAATCAATACAAGCTGTCTTTATTGACATAAATAATTAAATGAAGCCAGTTCTGTAGCACCTTAGCCAATTCTCAGCATGTGCAGTCAATAATTTTACATTATGCAACATGCCTGGAGAGCTTAGAGTACTTCTTCCAGTACCAGTTTCCTTTTTTCTCTCTTGTCTATACTTCCATACATACTTACCATTATTTAACCTGCCTCTACTTTTAGTTTCTTTTCTTTTAATCTCTACCCCCTCCTCTCTCCCACCAGTCGTATCAGTGGTTGAAGGAGAAAATAGTAAGTGAGGATGGAAGGAAGCAACAAGCCAAGCTGAAAGAGCTCAACCACATTGCAGAGAAGCTGGGCTGCACTCTGCCTCAACTGGCTGTCGGTAAGACATCTCTGGTCGCCCTCCCCTTCTCATAACAAACAGTGGAAGCAGTCAGACAGGCACCTTCTTTAATGCCTGACATGAAAAAAACTCACATTATCCTTGACACGCTTCCTGTGTTTGCTTGTCATTTGTCTCGTGGGTTTGATTTTCCCTCCAGTTTCTACACACAAACAAAGACCTTTCAAATCTAACTGTGCTTTGACTGTGTTACTGTGCACTGATAAAATATCTTAGCTGCCTGGAAGGTAGAAGTAAAGGCATTCAAAGATTAAAAGATTTGTGGTGTACTTTGAAAAAATGTCTGGCAGCAATGTATGGTTTACGATTTGTCGTAAATGGACTGAATGAAACAAAGGGATTTGACTTTTTAACACTCGACTTTGTGATAAATGTCTTATAAGGATCCTTGAAGAGCTAGCACAAGACTAAAAGCCCAGTTTTTTGTGGTCTGTTATAATCATAGATAAAATGATAATAAGCAGCAGTGCGCCCTCAAGTGGGTGCTGTGTGAACATCTACATCTCTTTCTCTCTCCAGCGTGGTGTCTAAGAAATGAAGGCGTGAGCTCAGTTCTTCTGGGAACATCCAACCCTGAACAGCTCACTGAGAACCTCGGGGCCATACAGGTGGGAACATGCTGTCTTTACCTATGTTCAGGTGTTCTCGCTGCTTAGTTTCCTCCACTGCTCTACTCCAGCTTTATTGATTTCGAGATCAAAACGTTATGTGATTCTCTGTATTTTTTTGCTTCCCTGTATTTCCCGCTTCCTCCCTGCGAGGCAAATTCAGTTTTGCTCTTTACCTTTTGCGCAGGTCCTCCCTAAGATGACGTCTCATGTGGTGTCTGATATCGACCACATCCTGGGCAACAGACCGTACAGTAAGAAGGACTACCGCTCTTAGGCCTGGCAGGTGGACTACCGAGAGGTCAGCCTACCTACTCACCTACCTACGTAACCATACTGCTACCATGGACACACCGTTCAATGTTAAAGTCCACGGTCCTCTCCTTGGGCCCCACTCAGTTCCAGTCCACTTCAGCCTGGAACAGAGAGTCTTGCTAAGCCCAGCATTGCATACCGTAACCTTGTCTGTTTGAGACTCAGCTCCACCAGGTTCATCTCAGGTCCAGTCCAGCTCAGCCAAGAGACACTGCTTAAATTCAGCTTTTTGCAGCCTCAAACGCAACTTAGCTCATTTGAGTAAATCAAAACTTTGTGCTCCCCAACCAAGGTGTTAACCCTTTCAGCACCTGTTCATTCAAATATAACTATGCAGAACTTAGTCTTGCCCATGTTACAGTTCATATCCGGTGCCATGCTGACAACACCCAGAGCATTACAACTCCAAACACAACGCCCTCATCAAGAAATGTAATAGATATTTCCACTTCTATTAGATGGCCAGGTATGCTTGAACAGCTCCTAATAGTCTGTGACACACATTTAAAACCATTTCACACATTTACAGTTTGAGCAGCACAGTATGAAAAGCAGTGCAGGAGTATTTAAAGCAAAAGTGCCTTGCTCAAGGGCATCTTGACAGTAGTTGCTGAGTGAGACAGTTATGTTACCTATTCACTTCACCCACTCACGTCCGATGACTCAGACCCTCGAGTCTCTAGCCTTCCTCTCTAATGTCCAGACTTCCACCCACAAGTAATTTAATTTGAGCACAAAATTCATATTGAGCACATATTTTATTCATGAGAAATAATCGATGCAAGCACCTTAGACTTATAACTCAGAGATACCTTAGGAAAGGGGACACAAAGAAGCTTTAGTTGCATGAACGTCCCCGTCAGTTAGTCAGTGATTTTATAAAATTGCTATGCAGTGCAGCAAATAATATTACCATATGAGCTCAATACTTTCACCTCTTGTGTCAGAGGTGCACGCTCAAGTCGTAGGATAAAATATCTCGTTTATTTTCCCATGAAATGTGAGGTTTAGCAGTGACAAGGTGACCTGCTCAAACTTCTTGAAAAATCAAGCTTCAAGAATGAGGCCTCAACAAACCAGTTCCCTATTAGCTTGAATTAGCTTTCTACTATCTACCAAATGTACTCAGTCCAAATGTACTCTCATATTTAGTGTAGTACTGAAAAGTATTCAGTAGATATTATAGGCTGCAAATCCTGAGCGTATTAACCAACAGATGCATGTTTCTCCTGCTATAGTGTGCCTCTCTTTTCTTTTCTACAAAGCACATAAGTAAACAACACAAAGGAGTTTGATCAAAAATACTGCAAGCTTGCCTACCGTCCTTGACCGCCTGTGAAGCAGAGGAACGTCGGTGTCAGAGGGACTCTGTTAGAGGAGAGAATGAAGCATGTCGCCCCTGTGTGGTCTTTTTGATGAACCGCTTCACTAGATAATAAGAGAGAGAAATAACGCTTTGCAAAAACAAACAAAAAAAAGTGGACTACTTTTCTCTCAGTTTGCATTTATTATGGAGACATTTGACTCCTTTTCCTGTGAACAGAACCTGCACTGCTGATTTTCCTCAATGAATTTGGCAGAAAATGACTTAAAGTAAATATAATACATCTTTGTAATAAAAGAATGACTGCCCTCCTGGCCGGTTGTGGCTATAGTAACTACGGAAACTGCTTGCTAATGGCACCAAGAGGCTTATAGACAAGGTATCTGGGATGTGGCAAAGATGACAGTGTTTATTTTAGAGTAGTTAATAAATATGAGCTTTATTTTGACATTTCGAGATCTTGTTTTTGTTTGGAGAATTATGTGGATGTTACATGTACATAAAATGTTAAATCATACCTTGTAACATAAGAAAAACCTTGAAGAAGCCTCTCTTGCATATGAGGACTTCACTGTACTGTATGGCTAATATATATAAATAAGATGTAAATAGAGATTATTTTGTTGCACCTCTGTGGTATCACTGCAGCAGTTGCAGCGTTTTGAGTCACTCTTCCTCCTATCCTCCTCCAGCCTGGCATTACCCTGTCACAGAATTAAATTTCTGGCTCCTGGCTTATACACTCACCTAAAGGATTATTAGGAACACCTGTTCAATTTCTCATTAATGCAATTATCTAATCAACCAATCACATGGCAGTTGCTTCAGTGTATTTAGGGGTGTGGTCCTGGTCAAGACAATCTCCTGAACTCCAAACTGAATGTCAGAATGGGAAAGAAAGGTGATTTAAGCAATTTTGAGCGTGGCATGGTTGTTGGTGCCAGACGGGCCGGTCTGAGTGTTTCACAATCTGCTCAGTTACTGGGATTTTCACGCACAACCATTTCTAGGGTTTACAAAGAATGGTGTGAAAAGGGAAAAACATCCAGTATGCGGCAGTCCTGTGGGCGAAAATGCCTTATTGATGATAGAGGTCAGAGGAGAATGGGCCGACCGATTCAAGCTGATAGAAGAGCAACTTTGACTGAAATAACCACTCGTTACAACCGAGGTATGCAGCAAAGCATTTGTGAAGCCACAACACGCACAACCTTGAGGCGGATGGGCAACAACAGCATTAGACCTCACCGGGTACCACTCATCTCCACTACAAATAGGAAAAAGAGGCTACAATTTGAAAAAAAAATTGTACAGTTGAAGACTGGAAAAATGTTGCCTGGTCTGATGAGTCTCGATTTCTGTTGAGACATTCAGATGGTAGAGTCAGAATTTGGCGTAAACAGAATGAGAACATGGATCCATCATGCCTTGTTACCACTGTGCAGGCTGGTGGTGGTGGTGTAATGGTGTGGGGGATGTTTTCTTGGCACACTTTAGGCCCCTTAGTGCCAATTGGGCATCGTTTAAATGCCACGGCCTACCTGAGCATTGTTTCTGACCATGTCCATCCCTTTATGGCCACCATGTACCCATCCTCTGATGGCTACTTCCAGCAGGATAATGCACCATGTCACAAAGCTCGAATCATTTCAAATTGGTTTCTTGAACATGACAATGAGTTCACTGTACTAAAATGGCCCCCACAGTCACCAGATCTCAACCCAATAGAGCATCTTTGGGATGTGGTGGAACGGGAGCTTCGTGCCCTGGATGTGCATCCCACAAATCTCCATCAACTGCAAGATGCTATCCTATCAATATGGGCCATCATTTCTAAAGAATGCTTTCAGCACCTTGTTGAATCAATGCCACGTAGAATTAAGGCAGTTCTGAAGGCGAAAGGGGGTCAAACACAGTATTAGTATGGTGTTCCTAATAATCCTTTAGGTGAGTGTATTTTATGGAACTATTTAGGAAGAGGAAGGGTCGATTTTGTTTATTGTTTTTGCATTGTGAAGTCAGTTTAATAAATCTATATTAATAATGGCATTATTTAAAGAATTCTGTAAGTAATGAGCTTCTGTTTCAAACTTGAGCAATGGCCTTGAATCAGGTGGCTCAGCCCTCACGCTACATGGTTTGTCGCCTTCATGAGTTCTTGTTCTTTCTCATCTGGAAAACAAGCCATCACAGAGATCAGCAGAAATGTTGGCCAGGTTCCAGTTGAATCGCTGTCTTGCCCTCTGTGTAAATTTGTTGACTTGAAGCATAAACACCCTCCAGATTTTAACGAAAGGAAATTTGAAAAAATGCTGATCCACATATTGTAACGGATCAATCAGTAGTGTTTGTCTCACAGTATATTTTAAGAAGTCTGGCCTTAGATAATGAATAGACTTCCTACATTATGACTACTTGAAAATACAGAGGAGGGTGACCTGACTTTCACTCAGTCATCATAACGACCAGCCATTTACTAACAAAAAACACAGAGAAGCTATTTTTCTGCTCTTACACCCATTTCACTCGATTTATTCAAATAAGAGCAACATGTGGTCTATACACTAACATAGTAATTGGTCAGTGGATATTTGCTCCATGTCTGCTTTTCAGGTCAAATCAGTTTAATTTCCTTTACTGTACCTCGTGGTGGCAAACTTTCAGTTTGTGTGCAAGTCAACAAGCTGCCCATCAGTTTGAGTCAGTGACCATGTTGGAACACGGCCTGCCGCCGTGTGTGGAGTCTTCTCTGCCTGACAGAGTGCCTTGACTTGAGTCCCGCTAGAGGAAAGAAATTCAGGGATGTCTTTCATTACAAGTTGTTTGGTGTTGGCATTTGGGTGCTGTCTTACAAACAAAGTGAGAATGGAAAATTATGAATGCAGATTCTTAAATTCTCATATTGCATAATCTTTGGGATATGTTACCTATTACTTCATTTGGACAAAAAACATTGAAAACAAAGCAGCAAGACCCTCATAACAGTTTGTCTAGTTAACCTTTTGGTAATTGTCTAAAAAAGCCTCACCCTACAGCTTCTTATATATAGTGTTGTTTATGGCAATTGGCCTTTATTTAGGCTGTTTCCACAAAACTATCTTACCGGAGCAGTTTAATCAGAGGTAAATGTGCAACACTGTGTTGCTGTATCATTCAGTGTCTTCTCCTTCAAACAGCCATGCACTTCATAAAGCAGTTTGTAGTCAGAAAAGTCTTTAGCAACTCCACTCCAGTAGAGGAAAGCAAGCAATAAACTAAATGAAATGTCATTAAGGTAATGCATACAGTGATCATTTTAAGTTCACACCCTAGAAAATAGGTCTGGAGGCCAAAATGCAACGAAGCAAGAAACAACTCAGATAACATGAAAAGTCCACCAATGTGACATATTTAACCCAAGATGTCCTGTTCAGGGTGAAACTAACCTAAATAAATTCTCATACAAATGTTGAGTAGTGTAACCTATTCTACGGATCTGTGTTGCTTTCTACAACATGTACATTTGAGGATGGAAAAGACTTCTTCTTGTTTTTGTGTGCAAACCATCAGTGTATTATTTCTCTCCTGGACAGCGGTTTCTCTGTAAATAGTCTACAGTGTGATTATGAATAAATGCATTGCCAATGGAAACATCATTATTGTCTCACTGCTGCTTGTGACATCAGTCTCTCTACTAGTTTAATTAAACCTTGTGGAGTGGAACGATATAATGCAAAAGGTTATTATACAAAATCAATTAATATGGTATTCTCAAAGGTCTCTGAAGCAGATGGAATAATACAAGCACAGGACAAGTATACCTGGTTGCTTTATTTGTTACAAAAAACAGAAGACAGACCTGGAGAAACACCCTCCAGACATTTGATCATGAATTTCATGAAGTTGAAATGTGATATTCCAGCACCCCCCCCCCCCCCCCCCCCCCCCAACCTGACTTAAGTGAAAAACAACAATATAGTGTATACCCATCTTATTTAAGTATAACCCAATTGTCTCCTCCCCCCCAATCCCCCCTTCGTTCCTCCATCTTTCTCCTTATTTGGAGCCTGTGGACAGCAGGGCGATGAGTCCCGAGGAAGCACTGATGGACAGAATGTAGTTGCTGGAAAAAAAGAGAGTTAAGGACAAAAAAGCGTTGACAGAGAGCTACAACAACTCGTCAAATGCATCCAGTTCAGATTTTGAAGGAATGTGTGTGGAATCATGCAGCATCAGCCTTCCTGGACTTCACGCGAGCGCTGTCACAACTAACGTATTCAAACAACTCAAGTGTATCTAAAAGCGGTACTTAAAGACAGAAGCCATCTAAATACGAGCATCTGATGACTGATTGTACAGTATGTGTAAAGCGTCCTGGACCCTGATTAATCCCAAATGTTGTGAGTGCTGATCACATGTACAGTGCGATTAAAAGGATACACAGTGGGGTTGAAGTTCTTCAGCAAGAAGAAGGAGGCGATAATGACGAGGACAAGAAAGAGTGTGTTGTTGTAGAAGATGGAGAAGGTGGTGGCCTCGTAGTCGGCGACCTCATTCTTCTTCCACAGGATCCTAGACAAACAAAATAAAAACACAATCACTTATGTAAGAATGTGTCTTGGGGCACTGCAGAGAACCATTCACTTAACCCCTCTTAAACTTTTACCTAGGAAGACTGTAAAGTCCTTCCTGTTATTAATGCGTTCCTTTCGGCTGTTGTGTATAATATAATCAACTTTATTGGCCACATACAATTTATACACAGTATGCGAAATTTGTTCTCTGCATTTAACACCTATCTAGGAGCAGTGAGCAGCCACTGTGCAGCAGCCGGGGAGCAGTTACGTTCAGGGCCTTGATCAAGGGCAACTTCGGTGGCACTCCAGTTCCCCACAGACTGAGCCAATGCTGCCCAAATACCAACATCTTTAAGCTAATAAAATGCTGATGTCCCCAACTATATTCCATGTCCACTTTTTTCTTAGATGTAACATTGCATCAAACTGTTTCCCAGCTAAGAGGACAGCAAAGCAGCAAAAAAAAGGCAGTAGTGATGCGTGGCCAGAAACATTGTTTGCAATTCATAGTTTTCAGTCACATGACATGCGCGGTGACCTGGAGGAAAAAAACAACAGACCAACATAGCGGTTCACAGCGTGACTGTCCCGTAGAGACGCCGCAAAAGCAGTCAAATTTTATTTGGATCACCTTTCAACTTTAGAAAAAGAAAGATATGAACACAAACTGCAAGTGTTGGGTATATCCGATCCATATAACACTTATTTTGTCAAAGATTTTTTCAAAGTACAAACCCCTCACCTCTCGTCTTTCTCCTTGCGGGACATCTTGCGGTTGTCTGCCTCAGACAACTTCCTGGTTACCTCCTTGGAAACAGCATCCTCACGTTTCTGGGCAACTCTGGAGGATGACAAGAGAAAGATCACGCACATTATGCGTCAGTGAAAGATCTTTAGTCAAACTTGAGAAACACTTTGAAGCACAGCAGCTCTGTAGTTTGTGGACAGAAGTCGACTAATAAGAAGAAAGTGATGTTTATGTGGTACTTTTTTTACCTAGCAAAAGTTCAAATGCACCGACAATCGTATTGCATACTAGAGTATTACATTGTTTCAAAGTTTCCCCAATTAATATTGCATTCTGTTTCGATCGAATGATCAAATTAAAAAGTATCTGCATCAGCAGTGTGACAGTATTATAAGCGCACCCCTGATCCAACTAATGTACAGGAAAGAGAAACAGTAAAACCTTCAGATGCAGAGTAGTGTGTTTATGCTTCTTACTTGTGTTTGAGAACAAACTTGACGTTCTTGTAGGCAAAGGCCACCAGGTAGGTGCTGACCAGAGTCATCACAGCGTACAAAACTGCTGACTGGACAAGGTCCATGTGCCAAATCCTCCAAAACAGCCCTAGAAAGAGAGAGTCTTTCATTACTATTGGCGAAATCATCAAGTCTGTATGCAGTGTGTTGGTTAAACAAATGCTGTAAACCGTGAGAATTACGAAAATCTACGCAGAGTTAAGTTATTGGGAGTTGTTTTTATTTTGCAGTTCAAACAAAATAAGCATAATTACAAAGACTACTAGCAAACTAAACTGTTTATTACTTACTACTAAACATAGTAATTTAACCACACTTTACATCAGAGTTACCAATGACAGTTATTGTTCTTATTGATAATACTGTGTTAGCATGCTGTGCTGTTTTTGAACATGTATGCGGTACAAGCACATAATTACAATCAGTTTTCCTTGAGATTATTCCTCCAATGAACCAGTGTTAGCTAAGCTAGTTAGCAGCGGCTAGCTGCTCCGGTCTCTCTGGTACTCACAGATGGGGATGGCAGAGACGATAAGTGCATTTCCGTAAAAGAGAGCGGTGGACTTTGCTGAAAGGTTTCTGCTGAAGTCCTGGAGGAGAAGGTCTTCCTCTGACTGCTGCTTGTTGCTGCCTTTGGGAGCCATGTCTGCGGATTGACCGGTGTGGCTGCTGCTCAGCTCTGGACACAAGAAGACTGACACGTCGGTGTACGAGGACAAGAGGGACGCGTCAGCATAAACCCGGAAATACGCCGGCGTTCTTCTTCTTCTTCTTGTTGTTTGCTAAGACGATGAAGGAGAGGCTTCAGCTCCCTGTTGCCCTCCGCGTGATGACAAAGGAACTGCACTTGTTGACAGTTTTGTTTCGTCAAAAGGTCAGTTCAACAAAAAACCCATATTTCCTCACTTTCCTCTTGGTTTAATTTGCCCAATTTGGGAGTTATTCACCTCTGAGATTTCTAGCATTTACCGTAATAATAACCTCGATGAAACGTTTTGTAAAAATTACGATGAACTTTGTCATTTTCAAGTGGAGCAGGGACAACATACTGGCGCTGCCTGCTAGCTTACTCAGAACATATGTAGTCGACATTTATTAAAACAATAACAGCTTTATTCAGCTTGTTAAGGGTGGGAAACTCTCAGTGCTTTCAAGAAGCAATAGTCAAGAAGAAATAGTCCCTAACTTTTAAAAGTATGTTTCTATCTTAAAACTTGGGCAAAGGAAATCAAAATGATTCACTAGATGTCACTAATGTGTTTTTACGTAATTTAGGTGAACTGGCCCTTTAAATTATATTTTTAATATTACTTTACATTTTTACATTAAATTGATCCATTTATGAAGTTACACACAGTTTACAATGCATTTGTATATAAATATGCCATAAATATTGTAACATGGGTTGTGTTATAAACTGATATTTAAGAGTAGAAACATTTGAAGAACGGAACAAACATTGAAGAGAAGAGACGATCAATGAATAAGAATAAGATAAGTACAATAAGAGAGAAAACATGTGATAAGAGGAGAACTCAAGGGGAAAATACAAATGCATCCTGACTGTTCTAAACAAAAAAACTAAGACCCCTATAAGCTGGAACTCTAACTAGAAAATGTGCATTACATTAAGCTGCCTATTGTAATCTCTTCCAAAAAAAGATATGAAACATCAAATGGGCTGTTCCTCTTTTCTGTAGAGTTCCTACTTCTCCATGAATCGCGCTCACTGCCCCACAATATCTCATACCAGTCACATCAGCACATTCTTCATTATTATTAACATGCCACACCCCAGGCTTTATTACTTTGATAAAATAGTTTTCCTTGTAGTACAGAAATGTGCCTGCCTTCCTTTTTGGAAACTCCACAACAAAATAATTTTAGTACACATCACCATGTACTGAAATACAACTCGAAAAAACAGATCCTGCCATATTTAAGATCTTATTTTTGCGATGGTTTGAAGAATTAGCTCTAAAAACTTTTCTACTAGAGCCACTAAAGCTCAAGTACCTGCAGGATTCACATTTTGCCCACTAGGGGTCATCATGTATATGTCTGTACATGTCAGTTTAGGTATTCAGCTGAAGCACATTTCCTGAGGCACTGGCAGTGAGTGCCAGATCTGCAGGTCTTAAATCACAAGGATTTTAAACAATGAAGGACAGTAAGGTCACAGCCTCACAGTGCTTATAGCCCTTATAGTACCAGATCTAAAGAAGTACTAAAAGAGCACTTACATTGTGTAGAGAGGTGGATCTCATTCACTAGGGACAGAGTTCCTGCAGCAAAAGTTTGGACTGACTGGAGAGACTTTTTGGAGACTAAAGGGATAAGCAAACAATATCTCCCTCAAAAAGGACAACAATAAATAAAACATTCATGGACAGGTGAGTAAATGTGACTTCTCTCTATGGCAAAGGGCCGTATCTCAACCTGCTTTAGAACTGCTTTCAAGTGCACACAGATATTCATTCAGGATCCTTTATAAAACTCCTCCTCTACACTTCCTCCTCTGACAAACATCCCACAGTCCATGGTGTGACCTCGCAGCTACAGATGCACAACCCATTAGCAGAGGATCCCTTCTCTTCCTTATCTCGTCCTCCAAGCCTGTCACATGCTTGCCGCTGGAGACATTTTAGAAACAGGGAAAAAACAGACAGATATTCGGCCTGCTGCTGCTGCCACCACAGTGCTTAACCCCCCGCCGAGCTGTTCTTTTTCCTTCTGTTCGCAGGAGCAAACAGCATGTGCGTGCGCCTGAGTGTATGGGTTTGCATGTATGTGTGTGAGTGTTAATATACAATGAAGACAGGCAGGTTTGCGTGATGTCCCTGTCTTTAAATGGGGATAGAGCTTAGGGATTAACCGTGCTCTTCAGGGGTGCAGGAGGGAGGAAAAGCGGAGGAGAGGGAGGGGAGGAGGTGATGCCAAAAGGCCTGCCAACACAATGCCAGGCGAGGCCGGTGATCTCCCTCCCTCCCTCCCTCCCTCATGTGTAAGTGCGTATGTTTGTGCCAGATTACTTTGGCTTTGGTGATACCACAGACATAACCACAGGGGCAAACACACACACACACACACACACACACTGGACTGCCACAGCCAACAGCGCATGGAAAGGAAAACACACACACAGTTTGCCTGGCAGTGCTGGTATGTTTTAGCTCACTTTGATCGTACCCTAGAGAGTATTTATGACAGATTACCTATCATAGTGACAAATTCTTTTTGAGTTTTCTTCTCTCACTTGCCCAAAACTAACCTCTAGGAGCCCTACATCTCTTACATCTGCATGCTACAACAATGTGTGTGTGTGTGTGTGTTTGGTGATAAGTTAGTTGATGAATCTCTCAGCACTTACTATTTCTCTGTGTTCATATTTCTGCAGCGTCAGCTACCGATCATTTCCAGTATACAAGCACAAATACCTACAGTTGCAAACTCACATAAAGAAACAACAACCCTGATGAGGCGAGTGTGACATTCATTTAAATGAGTCCAGGCTTATTGGATTTAAAAGGTATCTGAAACAAAAGTGGTCACTGAACTAAATACTTTTCCACAGCGTTGGATATTGTGGAAGTCCCCCACCACTGCAAAAATAATTCACAAATGGTAAAAAAGTATGACTGAGCAGGAGTGTGGTCACACAACATCCTCTGGCTTCTGATAGTTGTAAGAGGAACAACATTTATTAATCTTTCATCCCTGAAATGTGAGAAGAAACTGAGCGATCCACCACACAGCTTTATTGTTCTCACTGCTGCTGAAAAGGAGCTGAGACTTTAAAATACTGTTTATCTCACAAATTATACTTTTTTTTTAGTCAAACTCAATCTAATCAAATGTGTGTTTTGGCACACTTCAGTCTAGTCAAGCCATCTTTATATAGCACTTCAAACACAGTCGATTTGATAGTGCTTTGCAGAGTTAGCAATCAATAGAAATGAAATACATGAAGCCGTGCACACTTACAATCATGCTTTGTTACAAGAACTTCACCGTTAAAAGTCAGTTAGTTAAGGCTCAGTCACACCATCTTGTCAAACTGTGACACTTCATACAGCCTCTGTTAGTGTATTTGCTCACAGGGATGAAGTAAAAATTTTTTTGTCAAGTTCAATTGGTGAACTTTGACGAGCTGATTTGTGTCCTGGACTAATAAATCTATCTATGAAGGCCCTGTCACTAAACAGTTTGTTTGCCTGGTCTCAGAGGGCCTCAGGTCTTTAGCAGTGCTGCATTGATCAAGTCCTTAGGAACAGCGTAGGGCTGAGGCAATTTCTGCATTGTGGCCACAGTCAGAATTGCAGGTCATGTGACACCAAAAAAGCATTTTTCAGATGCACAGTCATGACAAAAGAAATAGTAAGAAATGGCTGTGTTCCAGGAGGGTGAGGATGTTGTGTTGTGTTATACAACTTCATGAAAGAATGGATAAATAGAACAAAGGAGGAAATGTGTAAGGGGAGAGAAGACCGCTGGCTTTCACTTTTCGTCACTCACCGTCACCTCTCACGCCTGAGATTGACAACAGTATCGTAGAGTCAGAGTGAGAGATAAACAGAGACAAAACAGGCTGTAAAATGAGCGGATTACAGGCCAGACAGACAGAAGCACCTGTGTGATGACACCGGAGGCGCTGTGCAACTGTTTCAGGGTCTGGTGACATCTCCGCTGTCATATCTTCCTTTTGGTAAGGAAGGGATCGTATTCGCCCTCCCACCCACTCAAAGTACACCCGGCCCCTCTACACCCACACACAGCGTCTCTCCCTTTCAGACATTTGCTCAAATGGTTTGCGTGTGCTTCTTCACTCCTATCTCCTTTGTGTCCTGTGATTTATGTTCCCCCTTTGGCTGTAAGACACAGAGGAGATTGTGATATGGTAGAGGTGGAGGGTGGAGGTGAGGGGTGGGGATCCCTCAGAGAGATGAAGGGAGAAAAAGGAGTGAAATATTTGTCTTTTCAAAGGATGCCAGACATGTGTTTACACTTTCTGCCCACTTTCACCATAAATAGTTTCCTCACCCCGAGGGTTGCGCGCTTGCATGTGAAGCATATGACTGTGTGTGTGTCTGTGTGTATGTGAGAGAGAGAGAGATAAATGAAGAGACCAACCCTAAACTTTGATCTGTTTTCTCCATTCCCATTCCTCATAATTGGTAGGAAAATGTGTTGGAATTAAGGCAATAAAGTGTGTTGCCACACACAACCAAGATTATTTGCTCGTATATTTGAAATGATATTGAAGTCTATTTCTGGAAAATTCAGTAGACAGTAGAGAAAGACAGGAAAGGCAGCGGAAAGAAAGGGGATAAGACACAGCAAAGGGCCTGGGCTGGACTCATGGTACTTGCTCCACCAGGTGAGCACTAGATGTGCCCTCATTTACACAGTGCACATCTCCACCAGGCCTGGTATCTCGTAACACACCAATGTCTTAAGTCATTATGTGTTATCACAACAGCTTTTTTGCTTTTCATGTTATTTCATGCCATTTAGTGAATTATATTGTGCATTAACAGCGTGTTGTTTTATGCATGAATGTCACAGAGACACACACACACACACACACACACAGCATTATACCCTAGAAGCAACAAAAAAATCTTGAATAACTTGTATCTGTGTTTTTTTTTCTTTTGCATATGTTTCTCAGCTGGTGATGACAACAATGGTGTGTGAGTCACACTGTAGGTGTGGATGTGCAGCCGCG